AATTCATTCGAAGTTAATTTTAAAGGTTGTCTTTCAATAAGTTTCCATATACCATTTTCATTATTTTGTTCCCATCTATCAATATATTGTGGACTCCATTCATTATACGCAATTAATAATGTAGATTGATTTAATAATGTAAAGCATTTAAATGTTTTATTTTCTATTGGTATTATATCATGTAATATTTCAATTTTTTTTGTATTTGGATCAAATATAAAAATATTTGTTGATGTAAGAAGAAGAAACTGTTGTTGATTATCATACCATAATGCATCAATTACAGTTGTTTTTATTGAAGAACGTATAATATATTTTTGAAGATGATCATCAATGAGTATAAGTTGATTTCTTTTTTTTGTGAATTCATTCACAAGAATATAGTTTGGTGATGAAGTCAAAATTGGTTCAAATGATACAAGTGGAATTTTAATCGAAGTGATTGAACTAGAATTATCATTAATAGACATCGATTGAGATGATGTTCTTGATAATTTTATAATTTCATCAATGACCACTGTTCTATCCATTGTATTGACTGTTTGTATTGTATTTGATTCGGGTGAAAGGCCAGCAACTATCATTTTGCTCTAGAAATAATATCTATAATGTATATGTCAGCGTCCAAACTGAGATTACGTCCAATCTCAGATTGGCCTAGGCGAATGTCGGATCCGAGATTGGACGCGTTCAATCTAAGATTGACGTAATTATATTCACTAAAATATTAATTACTCTTTAGATATACGTTCGATTCAAATTGTTTTTTTGAGTGATGTTTCCACAATGTCAGTTTATTTGGCACAATTGTCGTTTTACAGATTTGAGTAAACTTTTAGGAGCTATGAATAAATTTCTAGAAAAAAAACAACTTTCATGAAAAACCTTTATTAAATTCCTGAGTCTAAATTTCGCTTCTTCCTAAATGCTTGTAATACTTAAAACAGCATCGTACAAACATAACTTCGAAAAATAGTTTGGTCCCAACGTCTATCTAAAGAGTAATTAATAGTTTAGTGAATAGAATTACGTCAATCCGAGATTGGACGCGTCCAATCTCAGATCCAGCATTCGCCTAGGCCAATCTGAGTTTGGACGTAATCTTAGTTTGGACGCTGACATATATATATATGAAGGCTCTTTTTTCACTTATCACAATCGATTGAAAATGAAGAATTGACACATGTGATCGATAGATGTATTCATAGATAAAAAAGACGTATTGGGCAGATCATTTGTGAAACACAACAAAAAAAAAAGCTTACGAAATTTGTATGGATGAGAATAGTAAAAAAAATGATTTACTGTTTATGATGTTATTCGTTTTTTTTATTTAGTGAACACGTTAGTAGAAAAGAAGGTTTTTTCGATCACTTATCGTCGTTTTGCTTCTTCGTGGCAAAAGGCAACTCATTATTTATTTCGCTTGATTGTGTATTATACTCAAAGCTTTTTTTTTCTTTTACGCATTAATAAAGAAAAGATAATGTATGTGAGTCATAGTTTTCACTGAGAACAGGTGACAAGAACCATTATTATTTATGAAAAAACTATACATATACGAATAGCAACCGTTTCGAAATAATTATTATTAAAGGATTATATACAAAATATGAAGTTTATTCGATGAGTCTCATCTATTAAACGCCATTTGAGCTCTTCGAGAATGGTTTGATGAAAAATTTTGAAATTGTCAAGACATATAGATATCAAGGACTAGTGCAAAAGTTGTTGTAGATACAAGATATTTTAAAGCTTGTTTATCAAAGATATTGATAATGCAAATAACATGTAATGTTCTCTGCTGTAAATATTTACTATCCAACTTTTTTTTTCTTTGACAACTATAAAT